ATATTTCATATCCCATCCAGGGCGATTATTAACAGGTTTAGGTACAACCTTATTAAAACTCTCATCTAGAATAATATCAATATTAGTCATGTTTGATGATTATGCACAATAAATAAGACTTATAATAATGTAGTGATTTATAGCGTTTTAGCGAATATTTAGCGTTATAGCAGTTTGTAGCAATTATATTATAATAAAATATCAGATTCATTTTTTTATTCGATTACAAGCATATCAAGGGTTTATATAAGGTCCACATCTGGCTATATACATATTCACATGCATGTAGGATTTTCCAATGACATAAATTAGTTCGAGATAATATAATAGCTAAATGATTTTAATCACGGGCAGCGCTGGCAAGTTTCCATAACGGGAATTCGGAAAAATGATTATGAATAAAATGCACATGCAAAAAATGTATTCTTTTTCTGAGTCTGGACACGGTGTCCGAGCTCGTCAAAATTGTGGATCAGCATCCGATTTAGATTATTTTTTTTGATGGTAGAGTCTGGACACCGTGTCCGGGCTCGTCAAAATTGTGCAGAATAAATGACGCAGTACATTTATTATCAAACCTAAGATTTCGGCAATTACATAATCTTTTTCATCCTTAGTTAGGTTGTAGAATTAAGTCACAGTGACATTTCTAGATTACTCAAATTCAAAATATTATAGATCAGTGCAGACGGAAAATTTGAAAACCGTTACCATTGGTAACGATCCGAATCATGTGACTCTGGAAACGATTTCATCTCGCATTTATATTACATGCAGAATAAAGCGTCGATATGGGCAGATATACAAATGCCCCTTCGAAGCTATGCTTCTTCAGGGTGAAGCAGAAAAAATTATAAAGCTATTTTATTCACGAGTATTTAAAAGTTATCACCCCGCAGGTCAAAGATTACAATGTTATAACTCTGAAATGTATAATGTTTGAGTGTATTGCGCAATGTTCCTTTTAATACAGCTGGAGCAATTTATTATTTAACTAATCAATGCGTTTTTTTTCAAATTATGACGTGTTAATGTAGGACTTCTAACTGTCACCGTCTTGCTGATTTTCTTTTGGATGGTGACGCTTCTAGTAGATTTTCATTAATGTGAGAATATTCCTGTACTTTTGGCGATATATCTTGCAACTTTGAGTAATAATCCATTACTCGGCTCTATAATGTCGAATATGAAGTTAGATCATTAATCATGCTACAAAGGCGATTATAGGACTCGTACCTTGAAAAAATACACTTTCTCTATTATTTCGCTAATCACATACGCTTGGTCCTTGCTATCCGGGATCGTAAAATTCGTAATAATATCAACAATGTGTAATCCTCCTTTAGCACGGTGCATTGTGTAGATTGTCGTCTCACGCTCTAAAATGATAAAGCAAAACATGATTAATAATTACGAATATCACAATCCACAATGTAATATCACATACGGTAGACAAGTACACCGAAACTCTGAAGACATGAGAGCTGGTTCTCTGTTGCATTACGTTTTAGGTGGTGTTGACGTTGATAATAGATAGAAATCTGCATCGCTACAAAAATGACAAATTCAATAAGGTTTATTGCAATAGGTCTTTCAAGACATGAATATATGAATATCTTAAAATTATAAACCCTTGAATAATCTTTCCATGTCTCCGTAATATCCAGTAACATCAACATTCACTGCATTTCCTACCACTTCAAGGAATCCAATTTCCATTTCAGTAGCGTTCATGTAAATTTTTAAGATACCGTCATGTTTTGATCCAAGATTAACACGAGGCTTTCGTCCATTTGTCTCATTCCTGTGTTTCTTACGCAAGGAACTTTCAATCTCTCCACTAACCAAACATTGTATGTGATAAATCAAGAGTTCGTTATACCGGACATAAATGAAACGTGTATATATAATAACTTACACTTGGAACCTAATCTTATCAAGTATATCATCGAATACCTTTGGTATTAAAGGATTGACGAATGAGTCTCTGTAAGCTATCTCTTGCGTATTCGCATCGCGAAGTATATTAAAAGACGAGGCGAACAAAAATATGCTAGTGAAATATGAGAATTAAATGAAGTGTGTTGAATAATAATGATAAGGTATATAGTACACCTACAATCTCCGATATATATCTTGCGTCCACAACATGTCATAATGTTTTTTAAGAGCAAATTCGCCTTCAAATGGCATCTCGAAAACAACTTTTGTTGATCGTGGCTCATCATCATCATCATCAAAAACCGATTTTGAATTTCTCTCAACAGCCGGAGCATACTTTTCGATTAAAGGCTTGATACTCTTTTTCCATCTTGATCGGCGCATTGTATTCTCTTTCTCTTCGGCCGATGGCTCCATCTAAATTGTATGATTATTAATCTAAAGCTAATGGGATGAGCTAATGCAAAAAACACATACTTCTTTCCAAATTTTTCTCATTTTTTCCTTATCATCGTTTGAGAAGATTTTGTTTACTGGATCGGTAAGGTCATTTTCGGAGAGATTTACAACCTGATAATCAAAAAGACGATAGTTCTCTTCTCTCATCTTTGCAATGAGGTTCTGGACTTCAGTCGGTACTTCCTCGTTTTCGATGACTTCGGTTGACTCCTCCTCTTCCTCGCTTTCGTTGTAATCATCAAAAAAATCGTCATCTTCAATATTAACTAGAATCTGTGCGCGGGGACATTGACGATCTCGAAGATTAGGGGGAGAAGTGATGATAGGGAAGGCATCTTCGGCTGGACGTTTCCTTTGGTTATCTGCATTTAATATTGGAGTACTCGCAACAATTGACTGGGCTCCTTTAGAACGTTCAATATATTCTTCAGAAGAGATGACTAGCGCCTTCGTCTGTAATTTTCGGGCTACGATTTCCTGGGTTTTCTCGAAGTTTGCCTGAAATGCACTGATGAGTCATTTTCAAAGTTCGTCACATAACCTATACCTTGAAGCTTACCATGGCTCTGTAAAATAGTCGTGAATTCTTCTTCAACAACTTCTTCAAATTCTTTATGGTTGACATTAAAAAATCGAATCAGTAATGTCACCAGATATAAAATTAAATGCCGATCGTATGACCTCATAAAGGCATAAACATCGTGATTTACATACACCGTCATAAATTTCCTGAAATCCTGAAGATTTTGTCCTCAAGACACTATACTTCCTCTGCTGTAGGGCAAGTAGTTGAATCAAGTTAATTGGTTCACACGAAAGTTGGATGCCATGTGCACATGTTGAAATTGTAAGATCATGGTTATCCTAATAAACGAGATGTATGGATGCTACCCTGCTTGTAGGGCAAGTAGTTGAATCAAGTTAATTGGTTCACACGAAAGTTGGATGCCATGTGCACATGTTTAAATTGTAAGATCATGGTTATCCTAATATGCTGGGTACATAGTCTTTTTTGGAAGATTTAAAAAGTGAACTAAGAATTGCCAATCCAAGACTAAGACATATTATTCAAGAAGCTACACAATTAGCTACTGAAGGAATTAGAAAATAATATTTCAATCGCAGATAAGTGATATCGAAATTGAATTTATTACTTGATCATTTGACCTTTAATTCAGATAAAATTTTTAATGACTTTTATTTACGCAAATTTTGCCAAAGTCAAATGAAATTTATGATGCTATCAAAGAGGGAGGGAGTACGCGGATCCTAGGCTATTTAATGCATCAAGTTATTTCTTTACTTTCACATTTACAAAAGTATCTATAACTAATTTGTTTATACTTCTATGCTAATTACGTGATTCTCACCCCAACACTCTTTTACTATACTAGATTTCCGAAATAAATTATCCCACCCATATTTACAGAATTTTTGTCTATCTATATATCTCTCAAACACAGACTATATAAAAACATTATTCCTCGAAAGAGAACTTCTCTGAAATTAAGAAATTTCGAACCTATAGTATAATTACGGAAGTATTAGCAACTGAGGTAAAAAAAAAAAATAATAATACAATATCGATTTACACTTACCATCACAATTCATTTTCACATAATTCCATTCCGCCTCATACACAAGATACTGTATTTATAGCTTAATTTTTTCTGCGTTATCTCCGGTACGATACTGCGCAAAGTTTTAAGAATTCGGCACGTGAAGATGCTTTATATAAGATAAATTTTTTGATGCACTGCGCCAGACTTTTGCTGTGCCGTTGCATGTGACGAGATTCATGTGAGTAATTTCCCTGCGTCTATTGTACGCGTGATGATGGTCAAAGATTTTCTCGGCGAAGATCAAAATGCCGATGTATAGCAAGAAGTAATATGTCCGTTTTATTTTGTAACATCTATAGAGACGGGAAAATCGATTAACATCGTGATAACATGTTTCAAGGAGCTAGCCCGAACTATAAAACCAATATACCTTATTATTACAGTTTGCAGATTATACTCGTTTGTTTGATTGTTGATATGGTAATGTAAATAATGGTAAGTTTGAATGTTTCGCTTAATTTTTCATTTTTTTTTATTTGCACAAGGTGGATAAAGGATTCACTAACCGGACGTCTTCCCCTTATATAATTTACACTGGGTCTAGAATCGACAGGGCTTTTAGAATACGCCTTTGGATGAACGCATCACGAAGATCTAGAAAATTCAATACTATCCATATGTAAAGGTCGTTAAGGGGTCCTTTTTTATTGATAATGTACGTAAGAATTTTACGGGAAGTTTCGAGAAGAAATACTCTGTTGCTGATATCATCCAACATATACTCTTTATTTTTAAGAAAATAGCGATCTGTTATACAATTCAGGGACACTAAATTAATCCACGCAAATCATTAATTCTAAGGTCAATACGCTAGAAGTTCGAACAAAAAAAATCTTTATTTTAACAATACCAGCTCCAAAAATTAATTATAATATTGATCTATAGTAATGGAAAAAATTTTTTATTACAATATAGCGTGTTACAGTACATGTAAAATAAATTGGGCGTGATACATAATGATGTCTCTATACGAATTTATTATAAAAATGGAATGTCTTCAGTTTCATAAGAGTTCTGGAAAGGACTTCGCCTGTAATTTGTAACACTAAAAAAATAGATAAACATCAGAAACCCATGTTAATCAATATATGAAGACAAATATATCTACCCTTCTGAATAAAGAATACTCGAGCGCGAAAATCCTTATATGCCACACCATTAAATTTCAGCTTCTCTTGGTGTTCTGGATTCGAGGATACAACACTTGGATCCGTCTTTTTTATGAATTCAATAAACGATTTGCATTTTGTTCCATCTTTTGTAATTAAATGCTCGCCATCATACGTTGAAGTTCCCACAGTATTGCCATGATATTCATGATATTCCACTTGATATCCTTTTCTAAGACATCCCATTTCCCTTGCAAACTTAAGGGTCAAAACTTTTGGGTGA